TGTACTGTTTGCTAAATATACTTTTTTCCTCTTTTTTTAATGTTTATTTTTCCTGATACATTTCCATAGGCTCAGGGACTTCCCATTCTCCCTGCCCCCACCCACTATTATTGCAACATGTAGTCCAACAACAGTCACACATTTTATAAATCATGGCTAAGCTCTTTATATTTCCAGTTGGTATACCCCTGTGGTCGTAACAGCATGTTTAATAGGCCTCCTCATTTTTAAAATAAAACAAACAACACCAGAAACTTAGATGAAAGCATTGCTCAACTGGGTTTGTCTCCTCTGGAGGCTCTGAGGGAGTGCGTGGGGAAGAGGGACTGCTTCCAGGGTCATTCTGGTTGTTGCCAGAATCTGGCTCCTTGCAGGAGTGGGCCTATGCACCTTGTTTTCTTGGTGCCCATCATCCCACATAAGTGCATTTGGAAACTGCTGTCAAGTCTCTCCACGTGGTCCTTCCATCTCCAAACCAGCCAGGCTGCATTGAATACAAGGTCTCTGAGGCTAGGCTAGGTCCATTCAGATACCAGCCCTCCCTTGAGGTCAGCTGATTAGTGATGCCCATTACATCTGCAGAGCCTCCCCTTTTCCATGTGAAGTACATCACCATGAGTGCCATCGTCTACTGCACTTGTTTTCTGAAGACTTGTCACTTAAATTTGCTTTTGAAATCGAATGGCATGATAGATTTGAAACATTAAATGTGAATCACTATGATGAATTATACGGCACATTAAATTACTTATATTGTAAATGTGACACAATGATTATGTGGTGCTGAAACATAAATTCAGTTTTTAAATAAGCCTATTCACGTATCTGATAATGAAACATTTAAAAAGACAAGCTTTTCAGGGCTGCTACAGATGCTCAAGCACTTCACATTCTTTAATCCTATCAGAAGATGGAAATTGAGCGTATATGACCTTAATGTACGCTGTGTATCATATTCTAGGTCAAACACTGACCCAAACTCATAGGTTTTACAGCTAAGGGGTTTGAGGGATCGTTTGCTCTCCCTCCCCTGCCTTTCTTTTAATTGAGGACTCAGAGACTCAGAAGAAAAGAATGGCTCAGAAGACTGCAGAACCTGCTGGGCAGTGGTGAAGGTTGACGTAGAGTCGATGTTTTCTGCTTCCTTCTGGGTTGGTCCTAGTAACAGTACTGTCTACCAAAGTATCCCATAGACCAGGCACTGTTCTAAGCACTGTGATGGTGTCGTTTCCCTTAACCCTCACAGGACCTATGAAGTAGGCATCATTGTAATTGCTGTCATTTCACGATTTGAGAAAATGATTCACAGAGAGGATAAGTAACTTACTCCGTGTCACCCAGCTGGTGAATGGTAGAGTGGGGATTCAAAGGCAGTCGGTTTGACACCAGAGCTCGACCCCTTCAACTGTGGAATTCTTCGAATCTTTATGAAAGGATTTAGGCAACAACCAGCACACAAGCAAAAGGGGTGCGTGCTTATTTGTTGTAAGTCTGACAAGTGGTGCTTGCCAGATTTCTCGAGTTACTTATCTGTAGATTGGTATTAAATAAAAATGCATCTCTTTTTAAAATATGTATTTGAAAGGGGAAAAGATCTTCCATCTTCTCACTTACTCCCCAGAAAGCCACAACAGCTGGAGCTGGTCTAGGCCAAAACCAGGTGCCCAGAGTTCTGCGTGGGTCTGTCATGTGGGTTGCAGGGGTTGAAGCACTTGTGTCACTTTCCACCTTCCCAGGCATGTTAGCAGGGAGCTGGTTCAAAAGCAGAGCAGCTGGGACTCGAACTGACACTCAGATGAGGATGACAGTGTCTCAAATGGCAGCATAACCCACTGTACCATACCAGCCCCAGGAATCTTGTTTCCTGTGCAAGTCATGTTTCCTATACATATTCATATTCTGCATTGTCAGGTTCACTGAAATTGTATATCTTCATAGAATGGTGAAATTCTTTGCAATCTATATTGTCACCCATCTTAAATTAATCATTTGCTATCCTATCTATTCTTTTTTTAAAATTTCTTAGTTTTTCTTTTATTAGAAAGAGAGTAGGAGAGACAGAGAGAAAGATCTTCCATACTCTGATTCACTTCCTAAGCAGCTGCAATGGCTGAGCTGTGCTGATCCAAAGCCAGGAGCCAGAAGCTTTTTCCAGGTCTCCCACATGGGTACAGGATCCCAAGGCTTTGGGCCATCCTCGACTACTTTCCCAGGCCACAAGCAAGGGACTGGATGAGAAGCAGGGCTGCTGGGATTAGAACCAGCTCCCATGTGGGATTCTGGCACATACAGGGCAAGGACTTTAGCCGCTAGGCCAACCTCGCTGGGCCCTGTTCTATCTGTTTTAATCCTATCTTTTATCCAATCCATCTTCAAATTCCCCAGTTTTCTTAAAATTATTTTAGGCATTGCTTTGCTTATTTTGTTTCTGGTTTTATGTTTATTTTCCCAAATAAGAAGCCTAAGTACATTCATTGCATTTGATGGTTACATTTCTTTGATATCTTTTGTGTAGGAAAAAAAAAATCCCTCACCTATTTTTTAATGTCAACTTGTAAAAAATGTTAATGTAGAGATAGTATAGACTAATGTAGCATTTCTTTCCACAAAGTGAACAAATATTAGTCCTTATTTGAAGTACACAGAAAATGTCACCAGTGAAAGTGGTACATAGCATGTCTTGTTGATATGCTTCACTTCAAATACATGTGCAGTATTTTCTTTTGGAAAGGATCAGTGCACTTTTCTGAACAGTAAGCATCATTGTATTTGTGTTAGTTCGGGGAAGGAGGCCATTATGTTTATGGCACAACAAGATTAACTACGAATCAATAGTCATGATGTGTGAAGAGCATGACGCCTACTGCGCAATCTGCCACGTGAAATTGGCTGTCATGTATATACACATATAGCATTCATCAAAGTGTGAACTATTTGAGAAAGTAATTGACCTTATTCTCGGATATTTGATGTTCTTTAGTTTCCTGTAAGACACGTGTTAATTGGAAAAAAAAAAAAAAGGTATTAAGAGAGAAATAGGGCCACTTTTCTGAAACAATATTCCGTGGTTTAGGTTTGTCTGATGTGTATGTATAGTTTGTCTTGTTGCCCTAACTCCTGTATGTTCAAAAACTGGAAATTGGTTCCAAACAATTGATTAGAAACATGTTGTGCATTTTTGCATAGGTGGCAAGCGGTAAACCTGGAAGTACATGATTGTCCCACTCCTGGCACTGTTCATTAATGCTCCAGATTCATTGGTGTTTTCTGTTTGTACATTGTTTCCTTTGGGCATTATAACTAATTTGTGGAAATTATTCTTTGCTCACATGAATATTTTTCTCCAAGTTTCATTTAATGGATTTAAACTCCACTGTTAAACCCTGCTTGAACCATTTATTTATTTATTTATTTGGATATTGGAAATAGATAATTTTAAACTTTATCATTCCCTTTACACTTATTAATAAACATTCCTCCATAAATAACAGCTTTCCCTCATTTTTTCGATACTTTAAGGCTTCTTACAGTTTGTATCAGTACAACATGTTTATAACCAGTTATCTAAGTTATGAGCCTTAGAATCCTGAAATAAATTGCATATCAGTCATAATTTATATTTTGTACTCTCTAAAGTATTTTAATATGAATTATAGTTCAAATGGACAGTAAAATTTAAAGCAGTGTTATGGGCAAAAATAAGAGGCTTGATGAAAAGAAATTATGGGCAAAATATTGGGCATAATAAGAGGTAAAATGAAAAGAAATTTCAAGTCACTGGCAATATCAATGAAGATTAAAAAACGTAAAAAAGAACTTTCTAATACCAGACACTCAAAGAGCTTACCATATGTTTGTATCCCAAAAGCGGTGCAGTCAATATGGATAGTTAGGTCTGAAAAGCAATAAATTAATCCAAACAATTTGGAATGTCACCCACCTGTTCCAGTTTTTGTAGTCATTCAACCCCAACATTCCAACATGCAAGCCCCTTGTAATTTGAGTTTCTTGCCATCACTCCATATTCTCTGGTCATGGCACCTGCCTTCAAAGCTCACAGTCATTCCTGCTTTCACACCTTGGTCCATTCTGTGTTTTCCTGGGCCAAGACACTGTATTCACATGTCTCCTTGAATCCTAGTCCGCCCATATTTTTCAAAACCCATTCAAATCATCTCCCTCAGTGACGTGAAGCTCTTCGCTCAGCCACTGCTCCAGAGAACACTTCTGCCACATCATAAAAAAAAAGCTACTAGCACTTGACTCAGTTTCCTGTTGGTGTGACCTGTGTTATAACTGACCTCCTCTCCAGACTGTAGGAGCACCCTTGAGATACAACTATCTATGACCCCAAATTAAAATCATTTTCATTTGATATTGCTGGATTCTGGCACAGTCTTAAGAGGAGTTTCTAAAAATCACCAACAAATGTGAGATTGTTAACTAACAAGGTCATCTCCTTTGTATAACATTCTTTGCCTTCCAACATCTGTCGGGTTGCAAAAGGAGATTTTTCTGTGTGTTGAAAACCAGGGCTACAACTGGAAGATTACAAACCATCTGTTCTTTGTAAATAATATAAAGGCCTTGTTGTTTTACTGTAACAAAAGAAAAGGAGTAGGGGAGTAGAAGTAAAATAATTTAGCATTTAAGTATTTCAATGAAAATAAAAGAATAGGCATAAATTAACCTGACATTGAAATATTACAATGGAAAAAGTTAATTTTACTTTCCTTAGGTTGAATCTTCCTTTTTTCTTATGTTAACGATTTCAATTTGAACACTGTTTTAAATGGAAATAAAACAATGGTATTTTGCGCTTAACTTTTTTTTTTTTTTTTAGAAATTTTCCATCCAAGACATTAAGATTTCAAACACTTTTTCTTCGTTGTTATTTATGCAGATCTTTTCATCTGAGGATCTCAAAGCATTGGGTGATGTTTTTCATTACCAGCTAGTGATGACAAAGTTGTGACACCTTTTGTCTTCTATCCTGGCAGAAGCAGGTGGTAAAAAATTACGGAGCACTGTCCAGAGAAGTACGGAGACAGGTCTGGCAGTGGAAATGAGGAACTGGATGACTCGACAAGCCAGCCGAGAATCTACAGATGGCAGCATGAACAGCTACAGCTCGGAAGGAAAGTGAGTGAGGCCAGCCCGTTATGAGGAGCTCTTCCAACCCTTGCCGGAGACCATCTTCTTCATCTCACTGTGTTTTCATAAACAACTCACATGCTTCACAGTCCTGTCTTACTTTTCACAGACCAATTCCCTGTGAAGGAGAACGTTGCTCAACTTCCCCTGCACAAGTGACTTGTCTGGCTTTTTATATTCAGGAAAATAAATTTGGGGAGTAAAGTGTTTTTGCTTTAAAGGCAAGATGCCTTGCACATTAAAATATTTTGCCCTGACTTTAAATAATAGATAAAAGCACAGAATTAATAAGCACACAAGGTTCACCGTGTGAACAATGCTACTTAAAAAATCAGTCGCTTGGTGTAAGTTATTATTAAAGATGTGGAATTCTGATATAAGCTTAATTTAATACAATAACATGATTATTTAATATTAATTTACTTATGTTAAATATAATAGTCAAAATGAAATGCCACCAAGTTGGTGAGCCTCTTTTTCCTTTTTTAGTTATTGTGGAACCTTCTTTTCAGTCAACTTCCTGAAATATTTTTAAAGCGTTTGTAAAGACTTTATAGCCCTTTCGCCAACAAATCAACTTTCATTTGCAACTGCACCTATGTGAATGCGATTAAGAGAGGAAAGTGCAATCTACTGAACTCACTGTGTTATCTCCAAGCTAACAGCAGGTGTTTAAGACAGAAGGTGTGCAGCCAGTCTGTAATGGGAGACTAAGGGAGCTATGAGCCCCGTAGTAAAGACATGCCCTAAGGATTATGTTTCTAGCACAGTTATATAACATAAGGCACATAGGTGGTTTGCATACATTTATAAAAGAAGTTATATGAGTTACTTATAAAAATAGACTAAAATATTATTATTAACTGAAATTTGAGGAGGGGAAACAAATATATTTGCTCAAGAAAGTTCATCAAAAAAGTTGAAAATTAGTTGGATAATTGAATAAAAAATAGATGGCTATCAAGCACTTTGCTTGAAAGATATTGTTAAAGACATAAAAATGTTTCAACTATCACCCTTACTCCAGGGATTTCTAGTTATTAGAGAGAAATGAGATGAATACTAATCTAAAATTTATTACCATTCCTTCTGGTATTCTGATGATCTGACCAAGAGTTGAGGACATAGTTGTATGAAGAAGTCAGTATCAGTAGTTAAGGCCATGAGCCTTATGATCATATAAACCTAGATTCTTATCCGGTGATTTATTGCTTTGTTGTTGGTTGGTTGGTTGTTTGGTTTGGTTTGGTGCTATAGAACATTGAACCATTATTTGATTTTTCTGAGTTTGCTCTTAATCAACTGAGCTTAACAAGTATTGATTTATTAAGTGCTTACAATGTTTCAAGCATGGTTCTAGGAGCTAGAAATATGGCAATAAGCAGAATAGACTGAAATCCTGACCCTTATCAAACTTTCAGCATACAATAAAAAATAATGCAATTTTGAAATATTTTGTCAAGGAAAGTTAGCAAAAAATGCAGTAGATTATAGATTCTAAGTATAAAGGAAAAAAATGGGGCAAGGAACAGAGATGGTAGAGGTTGGAGGTAGGGTTTAAGTAGATAAACAGGACAAAGGACATGACTGAGTAAAGATCTGAATGACTGAGTAAAGAAGAAAGTGACTGAGTGAATACATGTTATGGGGAGAATATTCAAGGCTGAAGCAAAGCTCAGGCCCTAAGGCAGGAGCCGCCTGCACCAGCAAGTAAGAGAGAGTGGAAAAAGTAACGAGGAATTAGGGGTGGAGGCTGGGGTTAGACAGTTGATGTTGTCTTAACATGTTATGAAGACTTTGCTTTTCGTATTTTTTTCTCAGTGGGATGAGAAATCATTGGGCCTCTGGGACTGAGGACTGGCACGACCTGATTCCACTGTAGTAGATCGGTCTGACTGAGGTGGAGACAAATGTGAGGACAGCAACAGGGCCTCTGAGACTCTTACAACAATACAGAAGTGGCTTGAACCGGAATGGCGGCATTAGTGAAATCAAACTGCATACATTTTGACAGTAGAGCAAATGAAGATCTATCTGTGCACTGCACTTATGTAATAATAGGGTTGCCATAGACAATAGTCTACGTGACTTAAACAACCGAAATTTACTTTCTTAAAGATCCAGTAGCTAGAAAGATCAAGGTATTAGTAGATTTGGTTTCTCTCAAGACCTCTCCCTTGTCTTGTTCATAATATCCTTTTTGTGTCTTGTCTTGGCTGTTCCTCTGGATAGGCTGCTGTCGCCTCCTCTTCCTTTAAGGACGTCAGGCACATTGAAATAGGGCCCCTCTGTTATGACCTCAGCCCTGACTCTTTAAAATCTCTGTTCTCAGTACAGTCATACTGGACATTAGGGCTTGAATGTTTGGAGAACATAACTCAGTCTATAACATAGAAGAAGGAGGAAAGATCAATGTCAGGTTCAACAACTGGAAGGACGAAGTTGTGATTTACTAAGGTGGGAATCCCCTGAGAGGGCCAGGGTTTGTCTGTTGAAGAAGGGGGATTCAGTTTAGCTGAAACAACTTAAATTTCAAGTGCCTGCGAGACTTCCAAGCAGATATGTATTGGAATATGGGTCTCGGGCCCAAAGGAGAGGACAAGTAGGAGATAGTAGTCTAGGTTATAGCAGGAGAGATGTCTTTTTAAAACCATGAGACTGTTAGATCACCAAGGGAATTTCTACATAAAAGATAAGAGATCATAGGATTGAGCTCCTGTATCTAGCGGTTGAAATTGCAAAGAGACTAAGGAAGAGTGGCAGAAGAAAAAGAGAGGAAACTTATGGGGTTAAGGAATCCAAGAAGTAAAATGCAGATGATGTAAGAGGAAGGGATCAACATGGCCAGTGCTGCTAATACGGCAAGGTAGATGAATATTGATAGTAGTTGGGTTCTCTACCATGGTCGTTAGCTAAGTCTGGCCTAATGGTCACAACAGTAAAGTTTTTGTGTAGTGGGGAAAATCAAAAATAACTAGAGTTTCAAGATGAAAGAAAGTGGCTACAGCACTCAGAGCAGCCGTTTCAAGGAGAGAAAAGGGATGCTAGCTGGAAACAGGGAAGTAGGGTCAGGACGGTGGTAGTTTTGGGAAGGAGAAGGATCAGGTATCAGAAATAGCAGCGTTTTTAGACACTCATGGGAATGATCTGGAGGAGTTTTTAGTTCATAAAATATGATAAATAACAGAAGCTATCTCATAGCTCAACTAAGAGGATTCACTAAGGCAAACCCTGGCATGGAATACATGCTCAGCACAAATATATACTGGGTGGTTTTTCATGTAAATCACAGTCCCTGTCCTCCAGACCTAAGAAGGGGGAGACAAGAAGCTTTTAGGACAGTGTGGCAGGTGCTTCTGGTGCTTCATGGGGCTGCTAAGGAGTCTGGAGGAAGAACCAAGGAAAGCAGAGAGGATGTTGTGAATCAATAAGTTTAAATGCCGAATGGTGATACCACCTATCTTGCCATCATAAGAAAGCTAGAGGGAAACTTGAGCTGGTGTGGGATAAGTAGGTTTCAAAGGTTTAAGCCCAGGTGTTATTTTGCTTTCAGTCTGATTTTCCCTGGTGTCCGCTTGGCCTCCGACAGCCAATTCAGTGATTTCCTGGATGGCCTTGGGCCTGCTCAGCTGGTGGGACGCCAGACCCTGGCTACACCTGCAATGGGTAAGAATGTTGGTCACATGATTTCATGGCTTTCTTTTTATATCATTAAAAATTATGTTCTCTGCATTTCATAGACTTGCTAACCATATGAGCAGCAAGAATAAAGTATCATTGATTTTTTAACAGTGAAAAGATTTATTTTTCTATTACCATTTCTGCTGCTTTTTCAAAAGAAGACATCATTGCTAGGATCTTAAATATGTCTGAAATGGTGTGAAACCATGATTTTTTGCTCATGGTGTGAAACCATGAGCTCATGGTGTGAAACCATGAGCATTTTTTTTTGCAGTGTTTATATATTAAGACATGTTTGTTTCCTTTCCATGTACTACTAGGTGACATTCAGGTAGGCATGATGGACAAAAAGGGACAGTTGGAGGTGGAAATCATTCGGGCCCGTGGCCTTGTTGTAAAACCAGGTTCCAAGACACTGCCAGGTAAAAACAGAAGACATTTTCTGTTGTTATCCATAAACCATCATAGTTCATATGTTTTCATTTAGAGACTGTTTAAATGCTGAAAAGTTTGTTTTTGAGTCAATGAAGGATACTCAGATGGGTGAGTTATCTGACTGATTTGAAGCTCTTGTAGACTGTGTTTGTCTTAAGTAGGCATCTCCAGAGTGAGCTGTTGGGGACAATGTCAGTCAACTGTTTTCCATATACGTACATGATAGAAAGTGCTTTCAAATCAATACTGCCACATTTGGATGATTTGTCTCAGCACAACATGTACTTTAAAAGTTTTTTTTTTTCTCATGTGAATTGGAGTTTTGTATTATTCTTGAGTTTATCTAGAGCTGCAAAATTTCTGCTGAGGATTCTTTAGTGTTCTGTGACTAGAATAAAAATAGGTACACCCTCCCCACAAGCCTATTGCCTCCTGGATATTTTAGTGGTAAGACTTACTTCCTGTAATAGATAAAGCAAGATAGGCACTGTCATAAATTTTTATGCCTCATATTTCATACTGAAATGTCATTATAAGCTGAGGTCCCTGAAGCCATGGAAATGCCACCATGACTCCAAGTGATTGTGCAGAAGTTGTCTGAGCAGATGCATAAAAGCAGTAGTTCAGGAGGATTCTGAATTTGGTTCTCAGCTTCAGCATCTCCACCGACTGACTTGTAATTTTGAACCTCTTAACTTATCTATCCTTGCAGTCATTCTATTATATCATTTATTACTCTGTGCTTCTGGTTGTACAGCCTTTTTAAGAGAATTGAGTTGGTAGAAGTCTTGGAGCTAGTTCGCTCTTTGTGCTATAAAGAACTGCATGAGTGCAAATTCCAGGAAAATTGCTTCTATTGAGTGTTTCCCAGATAAATTTGAAACAGTACAATTCATAATCAGCTGCTTCTTCCCAGTTGCTTGGAAGATGACAGCTAAAATTTCATCACTGTTTCATACCCGCCACCAATAAATAAATGCTTTTGAGTGATAAGTGAGTAAGTGTGGGGATGTTTATTTAGATTCATATGTCAATAATTTTAAATAAATGAGTAAGGCATTTCTCTTGAATACTGTTAGGAGCTGGAAGCATTTCTTATTATGTAATGTAATCTGTAAATTTATATAACTAGCTCATAGCAAAATAATAATAAACTCAAGCTGTGACAACATCACCTAAAACACTCTTGGAAATTATCCTTTGTTTATCTAATCATTTTTTAAATAACGTGAGAAGGCCAGTGACTTTTCAAGCAAAGATTGAGCTATTACAGCCGACAACCGTGAGTGGGTAGGCATGCGACAGCCACAGTCCTCACTTGGTCTTCTTTATATGTTCTTTCCTAAGCACCATACGTAAAGGTGTATCTCTTAGATAATGGAGTCTGCATAGCCAAAAAGAAAACAAAAGTGGCAAGAAAAACGCTGGAACCTCTTTATCAGCAGCTGTTATCTTTTGAAGAGAGTCCCCAAGGAAAAGTTTTACAGGTATTTGTTTAACTGTTTATCCGTTACCATTATTTCATGGAGTCAGATCTTAGACCCAGGATCTTTTGATTCCATTCTTTTCTGTTTCTCACCATTAAAATTCTTTGAAAACTCAAGGCAGTGACCAGTACTATAAAGCTATGCCCATTGTCATTCCCTTTAAAGTGACTTGCCAAGGCCCATCACACCAGCCTACGTGGACTGCTTATGATCTTGACACTGTAAGACTGTAAGGTCTCTTGATGTACTTGTAGATTCTGGAAGTTGAAGACAGCTATCCCAGTCATCCAATGCGAGTGCTTTTGGTCTTTGATGTTGGAACATTAACTGAATGCATGTTACTATTTTAGTGTATTTTATAAAACTTTTGTTGTATACATGGTTATACTGACATTACTCTTTGTAATTTTGCCAACAGATTATTGTCTGGGGAGATTATGGTCGCATGGATCACAAATCCTTCATGGGAGTGGCTCAGATACTTTTAGATGAACTGGAACTATCCAACATGGTGATTGGATGGTTTAAACTTTTTCCACCTTCCTCTCTAGTAGATCCAACATTGGCCCCTCTGACAAGAAGAGCCTCCCAATCATCTCTGGAAAGTTCAACTGGACCTTCCTACTCTCGCTCATAGCAGCTGTAAAACTGTTGTCACAGCAACCAGCGTTCCAAAAAAAAAAAAAAAAATTCACAGGTCGCCAACCCTGGTAACACTGCATGCTTAATATTGTGTCTTCTGAGCCTGTTTCTAGGGATACGAAGCGATCCTGTGTTCTCAGAGGAAGTCGCACACATTGTGCCCTAACGAAGGCCCTCAGGTGAAGAACTATCAGCTGTGGAGTTCAGTGACACTCATTTTTGGTCCAATCTGAAGCCATGGATTAATCTCAAAGAATCAGTCAGTTTCATGCAACAAAAGCCCTTTTCAATGGCACCTTTATATTTTTATCTTACCTTTTTCTTCATTTATCTGACCCCAAAGCCCTGTTACGCCACAGACATGGAGTTGTATAACCATTAAGCCATGTTACAGATCAAGGAGACAAGTTCTAGGAAGCATCAGGTGAAAAGCCTAAGACCAAAGAACTGGTCAGGAGCAGGGCACAAGCCCCTCTCTGGATGGTGAAGCAGGGTGGTCAGTCCAGAAGGGAGAGAGAGACCGACTGGGCAGCTCCAGTGGACACCTCCTTCACCAATGCCAAGACACATTGGACTCTGGAAACAAGATCTGTGGCAACACTGGACTGAATGAAATTAAAGAAACTCTTTTTGCATGGACACAGATTAGCTGAATACATAAATTATTTTCTTGGGGCTGCAACTTGCAAAACAAGAATAAAAATCAGCCATTTTCAACAATTTATATTATTTTTAAAAATAAATTTCACTAGTGCATGGTTTTAAAGGGGGAGAGAATGCAACAGGGTGATACAAAGACAGACCATGTTTATTCTTTAAACTACGCAGTCTGTGTTTTGGCAGACATTACAAACGAAAGTACTTTCTAAAAAATACTGAAAATTCTGTTTCTGTGACAAATAAGTATAATATACTCAATTTATTTCCATGTTAAATATACAAATCTTATGAAGTTCAATATGTGCAAATTTTTCACATCTTCTTTCGTCTTCTCTGTCTCACTTTTCCTATTGTCCCCTCTTTTACTCTTTTCTTTCTACTTACCAGAATGAACCATATGCTAAAAGCTTACTAAGTTTTCATCTGATCCTCTCTTACACCCCATGTTTCATTCAGAACTATCAGTGCTTCTGAATTTATAAATTTCTCAAGGAAAAACAACTCTTTAAGAGCTTTCTTTATTTCAAGCATGTTGAAAAGGATTTTGCAACATGACTTGGGAGTACATTAAAGTAAGTCAGCATGTATTCGACAAAGAAGATATTCGAACTTTTGCAATTGTACAGTGCATGGTAATTTTTTTTCACCTTCAAAATTCTGTTTACAGGAAATTCCTAAAATCATGTGGCCATTGTGATGTCTAATGAGTTTATTTTTAGCACCAGCATTATTCATACAGGGGTTAAAGTATTATTTATAGAAGGTCGTAGGTTTTGTTTGTTTTTTAATCAGTTAAAGCAATTTCTTTAGCCAGTTTCCATTTCCTATGTGAATAGAAACAATGCTGAAAATTTGGAGCCCCCAAACACAGGGCTGTTTATTAATTCATTTTTCTGTAGTAAAAATTCAATTTTTCACAAATTATATTTCTAAAGAAATATAGTAAGCATAAATTTGCAACAATTTTAAAGCTCCAATTTTTAGGTGACACAAAAAAGTCAGTATGCCTATTGATAGTTCCTTGATGCCATCACCAAAAGTCTCCGAGAAAAATCCCTTAAGTCACAACCCCTGCCTTTGCTTTCACAGACATTGGGTGGTGCTGCAAGGTCAACTTTCTTCCCAGTTCCCCTATTTGGAGGAAGAGTCACTGGTTAATGTAATAAGCCACCCATATTTTCTTGTTGTTAATGCATACTTTAATTATTCATACATTGTTATGAATTAAGTTCCTTGTAATAATTTTTGAAATCCACATACATTCCGTTTCTTTTGATTAAGGCCATGCACAAAATTTGTCTTCTTTGCTTTTATTTTTTTGATTCAGTGCTGACCATTAAAAGTTGTTATGCTTGATATGGTGCAAAAGTTAAAAATGAGTATCACTAAAAATGCCTTCTCTTTACGTGGTGCAATATGAAATACACCGAGCCTGTGTCTTGATGTTTTGTGATATGCGATGGACCCAGGTAAAATTATTAAAAGAAAGGAGAAAACTGTATCGAAGTAATTTAGACACCTGTGTACCAGCAGCAATTGATTTAAATAGGCCTGTAATGTCTACACTACCCCCTTAGAATAAAGGTCATCCATTCTCCCGATAGTAAGATGCAGTCACATTATCTTTTGTGCATATTCCTATACAAATTATTTCTAATTTTAATAAGAAGGACATAACTGTGTGGAATATTTGTACATACTTGTCATTATGCAGTATTTATTTAAAAGTTGGTGTATTTTGTGTTTTTTTGTTTGTCTTTTTGAATTTTCACATGTCTGCACCTCAACTATGATTTAGTCATGTAAATAGCACCATGCCAGTGACCATTGCTGCCCTGTACATAGTATGTTTTCAAAGTAAAGGGAATTTCAGTTGGGGGGGGAAAGAGGGAGGATTAGTCCTGTAACCAACACACCAACTAATGTAAATCAAATTCATTCTGGTGATGGTATTAACACTTTAAATAAAACATTTTCTTTACAGACGCTGTGTGAAGTGCTTTCTCTGACTTCTCCCCTGCCACAGCTTATCCTTGACCTCATTTGTCGTTGAAAGACTACAAGATCATCCTTTCCTAACTCTGCATAGGCTATGGTTTTAGCCAAAATTCCTCAGGAGAGCATTGCTTTGAGGTCCCTGAAGCTCTCTGCTCACATCATTGAAAGATGCTAGATTTTTTGTTTTGTTTTTAAGATTATTATTGGATTGAGGTACTCTCTGGTGAAAGGACTCAGCAGTTCACATATTCTGAGCGAAATGAGTGGAATTTCTGTGTTAATCCTGGCCATGATAGCCAGAAGTCCCAGGGGATTCAAGTACCAGCTCAGCTCTGGCCTAAGCGATCATGGTGGAGGTGGCCATGGGTTTATGCTTCTGTGTTTCTGTCAGCTGAGCAATGCGGAATGAGGCATGTGTGGTAACCTGCCATACAACCAGCTGTCCGTGGACTGGCTGCTGTTGAGGGAGTGTCAGTGGGGGAGGAGCTTCTCCAGGTCCTTGCAGGGTGTTTCCCAAATCGAAGGAGACCCTCAAACAATTTCCATCCCATGGTGCCCTTCCTAGGCTCCAAATTGAAGGGCCACTTCGACCTCACATTGATTTAGCTGTCCAACTGAGGTCTAATCCTAGTTTACACCAGTCTTTAAAACAATCGTTTCTGCAAGGACTTAGTTTCATCCCAGGTCCCCAACCATATTTTTTATTATTCAGAATTCACTCCCTCATAGTTTAATGAGCTGTCTTGGCCATACATATACTCCCATGGTTTAAAAATATCCCATTGCTTTTCTCATCTGTCCTCTTTTGAAACAGTCTTCTCGTTTCTCCAAAATAGTCTCTGTGACCCCTTCTTGCAACTCTGAGCTTAGAAGTGAGCACTAGTAGCAATTTCTGATCATACCCTAAAATGTTGATGCGAACTCTCCACTACACCAGGGACTTCAGGTGTCAGAAGTTTCAAAAGCAACAATAAGGAGCATGACGATCTGTCACGTAAAGGCACTGGGCAAGAAATTGCCAATGCTGTGTGTCTATTACAGACTAAACATTTACTATTCTGTACACATAAAAATTAAGTGCTGTCTGCGTTTGTCTCTACTCACCTTGGGATACCCTCCATCAATGTCCTACTCGTATTCATTCACTGAATAAATAAGTTCACACTCCCACCTTTGGTTGATAAAATGAGTAGTGTATAGGAGAAAAGTTTTTGAGTGAATGAACCAATCTAAAAGTATGCCACTCAAATTTTCTATGTAGTTTGATTTAGATCGTTCAGTTTTTCCGGGATTCATTTCCTCACCTGGGAAATTAGAGGTTTGAGCTATATATCATTCAATAAAATTATACTCTAATATCGTTCAATTAGCACTTCACTCACAGGTAAGCTTCTTTAGGGCAGGAATCCTATCTATTATTTTTCATCTTCTGTATCCTAAGTACCAATAACAATGCTTACCACATATGTGCTCAATAATTATCTGTCCAATGAATGCTTCTTCTCTTATTTCTGAAACACTACTCCAGCAGGCATAGTGAGCAAAGCAAACATGGCTCTGTCTTAATGGGGCTTTCCTTCTATTAATGACACATTAAGTGAAAGATGACAAGTGTGAACCCCCTGTTAATGTGAAGCCCCAAGGATGTAAAAGAGGATACAGCCCAGTGTTTTAAACTTGTCAACACATCAAAGGTTGATACAAAACACAATGAAGCATGGTAGCAGAAACCCAGAGGGGCTAAAGAATATTCTAATCAGAGAGAAGGGAAAGTAAGATATTTGAGGGAATGAAAGCACGATTCTGCCACTTTTTAAAACCGTACAGCATCTATAAATATGGTCAGCATACAGAAAATGCTTGTGAATGCTTGAACAGTGAACAAGTAAATACAGATTTCTGCATCCTTGGGCTGTTTCTAATATCACCAAGAAGTATGTTTGCTTGTACTTGATGTGAGATTGCTTTGTAAATGACCTAACTGGTAAGAGCTGATTTTCTATATAATTATATTTAACATGGCTCTCAGAACATTACTCAGCTCTTGATCCAATTAAATGTTTTGGTCTGACTATAGGAACTGAGTCTACAGTTCTGTTTTCAAAAAAAAGAAGACTTAGCTAAAGGGTGAACATATTGTAGGGGCCAAATATTTAGCCTTCACTGTGAGTGTCCAATCCTGATGTTCACAGAAAGATCACTGTCCTCAACACGGAAGATTTCTGAGCACTCAAGTTCATGCTCATAGGGTTATATCAAAAAGCCAATATTATTCTCCAGGCTTCTGTGTGCCAGTTTCTTGTCTTTTCCTTGGGTCAGGGGATCCTGTGTGTCAATGCTTTCTGTTTCTGGATCTATCCTTATAGATCCCATGAGAACTGCCACTTTCTGAAGAATCCCATTCCTCTGCTAGTGAATGATGGTGTGGGGTTGCAGACTCAAACTAGGTCAATCTGTGCCCTTGCCTGTGAGGATTTATTTTTGTTTTATTTTGTTTTGCTTTCATGCCAAAGAGGCAGTCTATCTCTAGTGACAGAAAGTATTAAATGAGAAAGAAAAAAACAAAAGGATCTGGCTAATGGCTGTTGTTTCCTGATACATAATGAAGGTTTGTTTAGGATAGGATAAACTCCAGAAAGTGACACCTGAAGGCAAGAATTGTGGAGACAGGCCTACACGTGTCACTTTCTTGGTTCTGTTATAGTTGAAACCAGCTGCCTCCTTGCTCTTCCAAGACAGCCCCTACACTTTAGCTGCAGTTATTTCGGGTTCCTGCTACTTGAAGTCATGCGTCTTAATTAATATGTTTCACCAAATCCAGTGAAATTTTAATATATTGAAGAAATCATTGTGGTTACCTATGGCAACCTAATGGCAACATTTGATGAAACCCTAAATGGTGACCATTCAACCCCTGCTCTTGGCAAGTAGATGGAGAAATAAGCTATGCAATGCATGCAAACCCATTATTGCTGTTTGACTCTAATTCCTGATTTTGGACTTGAATCACCCTTCCAGAATTCTAGGCTTCCTAGACTAGTACTGACTAGAAACACACAGCAAGGGGATGAGCCCTCCTTGTCCTTTCAAGAACTGTCTTTCAAAAATTTATTCTAGATGATACTATTTTCAATTCTTAAAAAAGAAGAATGTGTTGGCTACAAGTGTTTGTTTTAAATAGGAATTCCTGAGTTCAAATACCTGCTCCATCACTTCCCAGCCATATAACATTCATTAGGTCATGTATTCTGTTGTTTCATGTGCAAAATGAAGAAAATGAAAATAAGAATGATACCTGGCTCTCCTGTTGAGAGGAGGAGATGAAGTAAAAAAGGTAAGAGACTTAGAACAGTATCAGACATGTAAGTTCAAGCTCATACTGGCAGTTACTATAGTGGTGGTGACTGTAATTACCACTATTGTTTATTCTCTCTTGCAAGTGATTCCAGCCACTCTAACCACGTGTCACTTACTAGAAACCTCATAATCTCATTTATCCTCCATTCATCCTATCCAGAAATAAGGAAACAAGAGCAGATGGGAATTAGCCCAGTACTATGGACTATTTCTGTAGACACCTCTCATGATTTTGTTGTCTTTTTCTGCAGTGGTATCACATGTCACATTGGGCTGATTGCAACCAAATCTTTCACTTCCTCTTCCATGGCAATTGCTGGCTCATCCGGTCCTTGTGGGATTTCGTTTTTAAGCCAAGGAAAGACATAAATCTATTCTTGCTAATTTTTTCTCACTGTTTTGTCCAGTAGTCCAGTCTGCCAAAACCATTATGACTGTCCTAAGCCTGCCATTCATTCATTTTGCTGAGGCTTCAAGAACCACCAAACATACTACCTCATACCTACTTGTAGCAGGTCAGATCAGGACATTTCCTGTCATCATCCCTGTCTTTAACAAAATATTGACCAAAACAGGACCAAGATCAAAGTTTTGTAACTCTCCACTGATAGTATTAATGTAAGAGTGATTGTAATGTTACATATTACAGTTTACACAAATTAATCCATATGATCCAAGTTAATCCTTATGACTATCTTATGAGGCAAGTAACAGGTTAAGCCACCTCCTACAATGCCTGCATCCCATAAGGATGCTGCTTTTAATCCCAGCTTCTCCACTTCCAATTCAGCTTCCTGCTAATGCAGCTGAGAAATCCCTGGAGGATGGCCCAGATGCTTGGGCCCCTGCAACCCATGTGAGAGACCTGGAAGCTTCCAACTCCTAGCCTCGGCCTGAACAACTCTAGCAATTTTAGACATTTGGAGAGTAAACCAATGGAAGGCATGCATAGTACATTCTTAATTTGTTATACAGCTTGTGTGCTAATATCCATGAAACTTATGCCAGATGTTTATGACATTGTGCTTTTAAGAAGATCATATATAGTTGAAGATCACTGTGAATAAAGATAGAAGGAATTGTTTGCAGTATGTATTTCCCAACCTTATTGTTTGTACTTTATACCACATAGAAATAAATATTCTGGCAGAAAAAAGAAGATGCAGAAGTCAAAACAAAAATTCTCCATAGTTTTGAGAGGAGGGGTAGAACCTGCTGATGTTCTGACATCTGTCCGGGGGTAACCAATTGAAGGTGCAAAACTGGTGACCAAAGACATAGAGAATTTCAGTCCTTCAAGGTGTTCTTGGAGAGGAATAGTGAGCAGGTACAGAACAGAGAGTCTGAAGCTTTAGAACTATGCAAGAAATAGTCTCCTAAAAATACCCAGTAATTCTGCTCTAAGTGTACTGGCCTTCAATAGCCATCTCTGGGTATTAAAGGCATGCTTTTATTGACTTATGTATTTTCTATTGTCACAATGCATCACATTTTGGTCCTCCACTGCAAATACTGGGTTCCTCATTTAAAGCTCTAACTCTACAGGTCTTTGTTCAAGATATGAAAAAAGGGGATATAGGCAAAAAAGAGGGAGAGGGAAAAAGAGTGTGACCAAAGAGTTAAAAATATTTCAAAATAACAGATCCTTTAATTTGAATTTGGTCTGTTTTTCCTGCCTGTTTTCCTGGCTCCCTTTTAATTTTAGATCTAGCTTGGAGCAAGGCAGGTGAGAAAGGTGAATGCAAATGAGAAATGAGAATGTAAATGAGAACCGAAAAGAAAATGGAAGCAGAAAAAATCCTCAGAGTCTTCTCTGAATTATACAG